AAGGAAGAGGTCCAGGGAAGGGCAGTGCTTGGAGGCCCTGGGGAGAGAGAGATCGGGGTGGGGCAGGGAAGGAGGGATGGAGAGAAAGAGAGAAAACTGGCTCATCAGAGGAGCAGGAGCAATGGTGAGGTGGCTGGAGCCTTGTAAGCAAGGCCAGGCCGTCCGTGAAGCTGTGCGTGTGTATAATTGCAACAAGAAGCCATGGAAAGGCTAATGCAAGTTGACATCCATATTTAGGAGGTCACTCTGGCTGCAAGCATGTCAAACTTGTGGCCCATGGGTCACCTGCCTCGTTTGTTTGGCCCGAGTTAGCCTTTGCGTTTGACATGCTGGTGTAATGGATTGGAGCGGGGTGAGAGGGGAAGCAGGGAGCTGAGCTAGAAGGTGGGCAGTCGTCTAGGGAGCCTGCTGCTTCGGCTAGGTGATGGGAGCAGAGAGAGAGGAGCAGCCACGTGCCAGGTGTCCAGGAAATGGAACAGGTAGCTCTGCAGGACGGGCTGGATGTGGGGTGGAAGAGGCTCTTCTCGGGGAAGACTCCTAGGTCTCCGGCATGAGGAGTGAGCTGGGAATGGGAGAAGAACCGGAGTGGGTGAGGAAGAGCAAGGTAACCTTCCTCTGGGGTGTGTGAAGGTGGAATGCCTGAAGCCCCTTGGAACAGAGGCATCCCATGGGGATCAGATGTATGGGCTGGAGGAGAGGACACAGGCTGGGTGAGAGAAGGCTGCATGCATTGCTCAAGCCCCAGCCGGTGTTCCCTGCTGGCCTTGAACTTAGGCTGATGTTGGCCTGGGCAAGGCCCTGATACTTAAGGAGCCAGCTAATAGCCATATAGCTCATGACATTGAAGGTCTGTGTCATGGGGCTCCCACCCCACCCCAGGTCCTGGTGCTGGTCAGTCCCCACCGTGGGGATTGCCAGGAAGCCAGTCTTCCCTCCTCTTGCTCTGCTCCCGCCAGTTGCCATGGCAAAGTCACCAGCCCGAGAGCGGGAGCTTGGCGAGAAGTGGCCAGAGAAGGCCCACTGCTTCCTCAGGCCTTTGCTGATGTCCTGCTTCTGGCTTCTCCCAGGATCCCCGGCTGCTGGCCACATGCGAATTCTTGTGCAAAACCCACACCCTGTTTGTTTTCCCCTCCGCCCAAATGGAGCCCCTGTTTGGTTAATTTCTTCTTGGTGGCTTATTTGGAGGCTGTTAAAACAGACCCGAGGGGACCCTCAGCAGCGATGGTTCCATATCTCATTATCTTTCCCAAACCCGATTATTAGCTCAGATTTTTCTGATCGCTAGCTGCTGTTCGTGATGAGTTGTGTGCCATTAATGCCAGCTGGTTCCCTTAAACAGGACCCACCATGCCAGGGAAAACGAGCTGGCATTCAGAGCCACCAGCCACTTGGCTTTTTAATTTTAATGGGCTCCACCAAATGTTCCAGGCCAAAGGGCCCCGAGAAACCAGAACAGACGGGCTCCCAACCCCCGGTCTGCAGCCCACCCTGGCTCTCTCCTGGGCTGTGGCCATCCTCGCTGCTGGGACGGTAGGGCCTGTGTTGGGGGCTATAGGAGCAGAGGGGGTGAGTGGCCACTTGCCTTCCCTGTGTTCATGCCTATCTGCCACCCGCCCATTATTGGTGCCCAGGGAGGAGCCCAGGCCTTCTCCCAGCTATGCCGGTCCCCAGCCCCTTTCCTGGGCATGCGCCTGTTGGCCATGCTCTCAGAAACGTGTGTGTGTGTGTGTGTGTGTGTGTGTGTGTGTGTCTTACCCGGTCTGTGTTGGGGAGACTCCGGTTGGCTTTGGGGAAGGGGAGGCTGGAAGGGACCTGGGCCCTGGCATGGCTCTCTCTCCTTTCCTCCTCTCCACCCTGGGCTCCCATGTGGGATGTGGGAGACAGGCTGGGCCAGTCACTCTGGACTGTGCCGTCCTAGCCAGGGAGGGGAAGGCTTGAGGGTAGGAGGCAAGTCTGAATGTTGCTACAACTGAGGCCCCTATTCCTCCTGCCCTGGACCATACCCCAGCCCTGCCTGCCCGCAAGCTCCCTGCTGGCTTCTTGGAGGGCTCCTGCTCCCCACTCCTCTCACACTCTGCCTCGGTCCAAATGAATGTGAGCGTTTTGAACCCAGACCTTCTGATTTCTAGTTCGGGGTGGGGAGTCCAAGAGCTCTGCCTTCCCCCTTCCACTCCTCGGGGCCCCAGCCCCAAGCTTGTCTTTTCAGGGGGGCTTTACTGAGCAAACAGCCAGTTTAAATGGCATGTCAGGCATTAAAGCACTCCTCATTGAGGTTCGAGACAATTGGAAATTAAATAGCACAGTGGTTAGGAACACAGCTTTGGAATTAGCAGTCCCCGGGTTCAATCCTAGCTTCACCTGCCTCCTAATAGCTGTCTGTCCTTGACAAAATTACTTAACCTCTCTGAACCTGAACCTGTCTGAACTTCTCGGAATCTAAGGAGGGGTAACGCCCTATCTAAAAGCCTTGAAGTGGGGCCCTAGCTGGTTTGGTTTAGTGGATAGAGCATCAGACCCTGGACTGAAGGGTCCCAAGTTCAATTCAGATCAAGGGCACATACCTCAGTTGCAGTCTCGATCCCCAGCCCTGGTCAGGGCCCATGCAGGAAGTAACCAATTGGTGTGTCTCTCCACATTGATTTTTTTTTCTCTCTCTCTTTCCCCTCCTCCTCCTCCTCCTCCTCCTCCACCACCATCTAAACCTCCTCCACGTGTTCCTCCTCCTCTTCCTCCTCCTCCTCTTCCTCCCTTCCACTCTCTCTAAAATATCAATGGGAAAATATCCTCAGGTGAGGATTAACAACGACAACAAATAAAAAAATTAAAAGCCTTGTAGTGGGGTTTAACTGAGATATTTCATGTGAGGTGAGTGGCCGGACATCTCCCCATCCCCTCCACACTTTCCCTCTCTGCATTTTGTAGGAACATATTTCCTGGTATTTCGGGGGGAGGGCACCATTTGAGTCACAGAATTGACAGTCACTGGCTGCTGGGAGCTGGGAGAACTGGGCTTGATGAGGTCCATCTCGGGCAGGGGCAGCCCTGAAGCAGGGCATCAGGGCCCAGTGTATGTGGCAGCTCCCAGGCTGCTCCGCTGCACCACCAAAATGTGTCCAAGCTGCCTGCCTCCCAGCATCCCAGCATCCCTTGAACAAGCAGAGGACAAGGATTGGACTCTGAGCACCCAGGAGCCCAGGCTGGGCTTTTGCCTGGCAGCCCTCTGGCTCTGTGGGGCCCTGGGCCAGCCGAGGGCTGGCTGGCTGGCACTTGCTGTCTTCCTGGGTCCCTGGACCATCTCTGCTGCGCTCTGCTTTGACTGCTGCAGGCACCCAGCAGCCCTGGAGGCCTCCCAAGGCTAAGCACCTTCCCCAACAATGCTGGAGGTTGAAGCCAGGGCCAGGGCTGCGGGTGCAGGTGGTCTGCTGAGCCAATAGGTGTGCCAGACCAGCGCAGGCAGCCCTAGGACTCCTCCCCCGCCCCTGCCTCAGGCCAGGAATAACCCACAGGGCAGGGCTGGCTCTGGCCTCCGTTGGGGAGCAGAGGCCTCTGCACACCTGTCTCCTGGCCACATGCATCTTGCTTTCTCTCTCTCCATGCCTGTGCCTATGCTGTTTTCCCCACCCAAAGGCCCTGTTCCTCTGCCTGGACTACCTTCCCTCCTCTTCCCGTGGCTGATCCCCATCCCCATTCATCTCTTTATTGATTCCTGCGTTTCATCCTCAGTCACCGTGTACTCAGCGTGTACTGTGTGCCATCCACCGCCTTAAGTATACGAAGATGAAAAAGACACGGTGCCTCCCTCCCAGTCTGGCAGGGGCATCAGACCCGAGAGCGGCATTCTGAGTGCTGGGAAGGAGGGACTCGTGATGTGCAGGCAGGGACTTCCTGCCAGGGAGAGGCGACATCATTCTTAGGGAGCTTAGTTTATTGAGGCCTCTTACTCGAAACACTTATATACATTCTCCTAACAGCCCTGGGATGCTGTAGATGTTGTCCCTTTTTACAGACAAGGAAATTGAGGCAAGGCTTAAGAGACTTTACGACTAAGGGTTTAAAGCTCATTTACTACCACTGTAGTAAGTGACACTGGAGGTGGAGATCGGAGGTGGGCCGTAAAAGAGCAGGTGTGGACTGAGCAGAGGAAGGAAGGCATCCCTGGCATAGGGACCAGCATGGGCAAAGGCCCTGAGGCCAGGAGTCTCATGCAGCATCTGATAAGCAGTAACCTGCACTCACAGAAGGAGAACATGGGTGGCTGGGGGAGTGGGGAGTTGAGGTCATGGAGGCCAGGACTGCTGCATGGAGATGGTACCTTCTTGCACAGATCACGGGGAGGAGTGGGTGGTGGTGAATGTGACTGGACCTGTGTTCTAGAAAGACGAAGGGCAGCATGGGGATGAACTGGAGTGGGGAGAGCCCAAGGCGAAGCCAGGGGTCTCTGGTGTCCTGGGCCGGGTGAGGGGAGCTGGGGTCTGAGTGAAGACAAGCAGGGAGCCCAGGATGCCCACTGCACCCCCCCCTCCGCACCCCTGCCCTGCCCTGGGCTGCTCTGCAGGCACCTGTGGGCAGGTGCATGGATCTCACTCTCCTGAGACCTCATGGTCTGGCCAGGCCCGTGCCTAGGCTCACAGCAGAGACTCAGAAATGTGGTGCTTAGAGACTGGGAATAAGGGGGTCCTACACTACATTTATTTGCAACAGAAACCACCCCACCTTCACTTTTCCCCTCCTCAGAGAGGCCGTGTGTGTATGTGTGTGCATGTGTGTGTGTGTGTGTGTGCGTGCGCGAGCACATGCTTTACCTCTCTCCTTCCCTAGGAGCTGGTTACCTGGGATGACAGGGCAGTGATGCTTTAAACAGCCGCACTGCAGTTCTGCAATCGAGGGTCTGGGGGACAGCTGCAGGGGAAGATGGCGCCCCTCACTCTCCAACCAGCCTGCCCCCTTCCTCCCTCAGGCGGCTGTAGCACCGTGCACTTTTTCTGTTTTCTCTTTCCAAGGTGGGCCTTAATGTCTTGGTTCAGAAAGCCAACAAGTTCACCCCGGCCACCCGCCTTCTCGTCCAGAGATTTGTCCCCGCTGTAGGTAAGACCTGCACAGTGCTGAGCATCTGCATGTGTGTGCATGTGCATGTGCGTGTGCGTGCACACATACGTGTGCATGGGCATGTGGGGCTCTCGGGGCTCTCAGGAGCTCTACACTCTCCTGACATGGGGTGGGGGGTGTTTCTCCGCAGGGACAACTGGAACAGAACATATGTAGATAGAGAAAAAGTGACAGGGCCAGGCTGACTAGCTCTGTGTCCAAAATTCTACACAGGGATTCTTAACCTGGGCCCCCAGGCCCCCGAAGGGTCAGAAGATAGAAGGCAGTGGATCCCATGAACTTGGTGGGGGAAGAATTTATACTAACCTCTAGCTGAAATGTAACATTTCCTTCCATTATGAATGTAGGCAGCAAACTACAGTAATAAGCAGGTCGGGTAACTGTCACCAATAGAAATCACAGATGTTCCCACGTCTCATCACAGTTACAGAGATCTTAAAATATTGCTCAAACTTAATACCAACAGATCCACTGGTCGATCTTGTTTTTAATTCATTAGTTAAAAAGCAGATCTATTACTGTATCACAATTTTTAAAGTATTTTGATAACATTTCGATATGATTCCTTTGTGGTCCTATGTATTTTGTTTTATGCAGTTAGACACATTGTTTGGAGAGAGGTGCATGGGCCTTACCAGACTGTCCCAGGTTCCTGACACAAAGCTCCTGCTAGGCTAGTGTTCCTGGGGTATTGTGGGCCCGTTAGGTTTCAGAGCCCCCACGCACCTTCGGGTAATTGTGGGTGCGTGAGTGTGTGCAGAGGGGATCTCGCCTGCCTGCAGCCGAGTCCTTGCTGGTCTTGGCGTCTCTGAGCTCACAACAGATGCCCAGGCCTGAACCCGGAATCCCTCAAAGCCCAGCTGGCTCTTCACACATTGCAGACCAGTAGTTTTATTGCTAGCTTTACCCAGTGGCCAGATAAGTTTCCATTGAACAAGTACAAAAAAAGTTTTACATAAATGTTAAAGGCACGCTTTAAAATTAAATACCCATTGCATTTTGAAGTTATTACAGGTTCTTACAAGCTAATATCTTTTTAAAGTATGATACTTCATAAAACACTGTGTAATATGAAGCGAGAATTCTTGTGATCCGTCCGCAATCTGTTAAGAAGCCCACGCCTTGTTTGGGAAGAGGGCACCACAGTGGGAAGTTTTTTAAAAATTAAAAAGAAATAAACAACATCGAAAGAAACCTGGGACAGTCCGTGATTAGTAATCAAAAGAGGAGTATAAGCCAGTGTCTGAACCATGACACTGAGTTCCCCATCTGAGGCCAGAGGACAAAGATGGGGGCCAGCCCAAGGGCGCGGGGTCCTGTGCTGTCCTTGGTGCCAAGGCTCCATCTAAAGAGCTGGGAGTCAGACCCAAGTTCATGGTCCACACCCTGCTCTCCTCCTCCAGAGCTCAGTTTCCCCATCTGTACAATGGGCACCAGTACTTACCTTTCTACAGGCCAGAGCTGTGGGAGGATCAAATGAGACCACAACCAGACTCCCCTCCTAGGAGAATGCTTGGAACCACCTGAAAAGCTCCCGGGAGATCATTCCTGGGCAGCCCCACCTCCTCGATGGCCCAGAGGCTAATGAACTCCCAGGACCAACCTGCTCGGTGAGCCTCGGCCAACCCAGATAATTGCTATAGCAACTCCACACTTTTAATGAACCCTCAGCTATTTCTAGTGCGGGCCATTACTGGAATATCTCTTTAGATCTGACTTTGTTAAGGGGCCTAATTGAGTGAACACGGCTGCTGTTCTTGGGGTCCTTGCCATCCTGGGCTGGAGGGTTAGGTACAGCCCGAGAAGGCGGCAGCTCTCAGCCGCACTGGACTGGATCTGGGACTCGGCTGAGATGTAATCTGTCCTTGAGCCAAGCTCCAGACAAGGACTCCGCCCGGGGCCCATTCCAGCCCTGCTCTACTGGCCATCTTGCTGTGTGACCTTGGGGGTGGTCTTCACCTCTGTGAGGCTCCTGAAAGCAGGAGGAGGGTCCCTGCTCTCAGGGTTGACCCTTTCTGTCGTCCCCACCTGAGACTTTCTGTTTCTATTTGGGCTCCAGCTTGATTACTCTCCTGCCTTCTTGTTGGGGAGGAGCCTACAGCCCCTCGCACACGTGCAGCCACCATGAGGGGCCTCGCATTCCTGTGTATCCCTGGCCAGTTGCACAGGTTTGCACTCTGTGTGGTTTGCAGCCCTGAGAGTCCTAGGTTGCCAGGATCCGGAGAGAAGCAGGCCCTTCCTGGCCCCTTCCTCAGGCCCAGTGCCCAAGTCCTGGCTGTGGACCTGCCTGCCTTCCACCCCCTGCCCAGTCTCTTCTCTCCCACATTCAAGCTTCCAGCTCTCTGGCCCCCAATGCCCATTCCAGGCCCAACTGCAAATGGGCACTAGCTGACTCCCCTGGTCATTGCGGACACAGTGGTAGTGGGCATGCCTCTCACTCTCCAGGGGCTCAAAATTCCCTTGGTCCTCTCAGGCCACCATCCACCTTATCCCAGGGGCCTCTGGCCAGGACAGAGCATCTCTAAGCTTTCCATGGCTGCTGGTCCCACCAGCTGTTCACCCCTGCTTTCCACAGCAGGCTGGGCCAGACTGGGACGGGCCACAGCTAAGACCACTGAGAAGATGGCTCAGGACTTGCTTTACCTTGTAGAGCAGTGGTTCTCAACCTTCTGGCCCTTTAATACAGTTCCTCATGTTGTGACCCAACCATAAAATTATTTTCGTTGCTACTTCATAACTGTAATGTTGCTACTGTTATGAATCGTAATGTAAATATCTGATATGCATGATGGTCTTAGGCGACCCCTGTGAAAGTGTCGTTTGACCGCCAAGGGGGTCACGACCCACAGGTTGAGAACCGCTGTTGTAGAGGGTTCTTTGCCCCTTTGGAGGCCTGGCCGGGTGGGGAGACAGGACTCACGGAGCTGTGAGTGCACACGGGAAGTGACGGATTGAGCTCTGGTTGCTGGGATGTGTGTGTAGGAGGATGGAACAAAAGGGGGTCTTCAGGGTGAGGGGGGTCCTGAAGGGGCTTCGGTGCACTGTGCTCAAAGGCTACCTCCCCACTCTGTCCCTCCTGGGCAGGCTGGAAACTCGGGCTCTGGGGAACCAGGAGACTCCCGGGGGTCAGTTGCTTCTTCCCACAGCTCTGTCCAGCTCCTCCCCGGGCTCCTGCCCCGGGCTGAGGTCTGGGAAGCAGGAGGACTGCTCTCTGCACTGAGACCCATGTGCTGCCCAGGAGAGAGGCCTGAGACCCCTGGCCCAGGACACCTTTATCACGCCTGACTCTGCCACTCCTACCCGTCTCTGGCCTCGGACCAGGTCCTATTTCAGCCCCTTTCTGCTGGGACCACTGGGACTGCAAGCCTCCCCTGGGTTTGTAAAGCCCAGTATTCCTGGGGCTCCACAGCTCTCCCCATTTCCCCCAGCCAGCCTCTGTTCCCCTCAACTCTCCTCATTCTCTCTCTGGGAGGACCCTCGGGCAGAGGGAGCCATCCCATCTTACAGAAGACCAGGCTGCTCCAGCCACTCGAATAACCTTCACTGCAGTAGCTGAGAGACTGAGGGGCGGGGTCCAGAGACCAGCTGTTCCGTGTCCCACCAGGAGCACCTCCAGTTTCACCCCTGGTTTTTCAGCCGGGGTTGTGTGTGTGCGTGTGTGTGTGTGGTTTTTCAGCTGGGGTTGTGTGTGTGCGTGTGCACGTGTGTGTGTATGTGTGTGTGTGTGCGTGTGCGTGTGTGTGTGTGTGTGGTGTACGTGGGGAGCCACAAGGACACTCCCTGCAGCCTCCCCCCCGAAGTGGTTTCAGAGCCATGCTGGGCCCTGGTCTAGAACAGCAATCATGTGGGAAATCTCGTTTCTATTTATACATGGACATGTTAGGAAAGACGGTGTGTGCTGGCATCAGAATCGATTGGGGACTGGTAATTAATTTGTTTAGACCTTAATTAATTCTCCAGTTCTTTCTTATTTGTGGACTGTCACGCTTAATTGTGTTCAGGAGCTCGAGCTTGGAGCAGGCCCTCCATTAATTGACGTGAGGTGGAAGTTAATGGTTTGGGGAGCTGGGCAAACAGTGTAATTAAAGGTCAATGGAGGAGGCATCGGAAAAATACAAACCTCCAGGTCCAGCCACCAGGCTCCACGGGCTGAGTCCATTCCCGCGGAGGCAGGCCCCACAGCAGCCTTCACGGGGGGCCTTGGGTGGGGGTTGGGAGCAGTGGCCAGCAAGAGGAGGTCCAGCTGGTGCCATGATGGGGCACTGGTGAGAGGAGTAGGTGCACCTTGTCAGGGATGGGCAGGGCAGGGGCTTTGGAGACCCCAGGGGTCACCTGGCAAGCATGGCCGTGTACTCAGGCTCTTGTATGTATGTGTGTAGGTGGCAGGGCAGGGAGCTCTGAAGGTCACCCCCAGACTGCCTGGTTGAATCCATGCCAAGCAGGGGACCAGCAGGGCCCGGTGCTCATAAAGACCCCCATGTGGGCTCTGAGCTCCCCATGGGGAGGCCCGAGCCTCAGCACCCGCCCGCCGACTCCCTGCAGAGGGAGTAACCTTCCCGCATGGACCAGAAATGCCAGCCTCGGCATCTCTTTGCCGGGAAGTGACTTTTCCCTGTGCTGTCTACGGCTCTCCACAGTGGCTGCACCAGTCTGCATTCCCACCCACAGTGCATGCGGGTGCCCTTTTCTCCTCATCCCCGCCAGCACTTGTCGTTTGGTGATGATGGCCATTCTGACAGGTGTGAGGTGATATTTCATTATGCTTTGAATTTGCATTTCTCTGATGATTATCAATGACATTGGGCATCTGTACAGAGGAATGTATTACTTTACAAAGGTCGAGTCCTGGGTGAAGCATCCAGGGCCCTTCCTTCCACTTCTCTGTCAGTGGCTTCACCTGCAGGGTAGCTCCCTGAAGATGGCACCAGCAATTCCAAAGGTCACATCCAGACCCGCCACTGCCCAGAGGACAGGAGGCA